CAAGAGGGGTGTTCGCAAATCATGGCACGAGGCACGTGCGCGGCCCATGGGAAAAGGAGGGGGCAGGATACGCATTGGATTAAGAAGATGCGCGAGGAAACATGGGGAGATCGCCCCCGTTGACAGGCGATGCATATATATATATATATATATACACACACATGTGCATTTATATGTAGATATACACACACTAGAACCATCGCGCGCGCTCGATGGCTCTCCGGAATCCCAGCTCGCAGTGAGATGCCGAGGGCTGGGCGACGGTTGCGGATATGACTTTAGTCCGAATGCGCTGCGGAAACATATAGTGAAGAGCTGTTCCCTGAGCACGGGGAACTCCAGGAGGACGACGAAGAGGACGAGGGGGGCGGTTTGGAGGTCGAGAATGGGGAGAATTGTCCAGGAGCATGACGGCGGCAAAGACGAGAGCAGAACGGGAAGGAGGGACAGGAGCAAAAGGAAAAATGAAATCCTTCAAGACGAACAGCAGGAGGAATACACAAACACAAGGGCATTCGTGCCCCTCGTCCACGTGTGCCCCTCCTGTTTGTGTATTCCTCCACCCATCTCAACGCACCCACCACACGGATTGTGCGCCAGAAAGACGCGGTTGCATGTGCCCCACTGTGGGAGACTTCGCGCAACATCACGCCACCCCCCAGGGCGAGGAGGTTTCTCACGCGGATCGTGTCCCAGCGGGAGCTCCACCGACAGTCCGAAAGCCAACGTGCGCAGGCCGCCCTCCCGCCCATGGCGGTACACTTCTGACCTCGACCGTGACTTCGGCGTGTCCTGGCGTCCCGCAGCACGTTTCGGTGGAGCCTCGGGAAACATCGAAATAGATGTTGCAAGACGTGGGCGCGAAACCTCCCATGCGCTCATGGGGGCCTAGTGGGGACGCGTCCCGAGAGCCTTTTGGAAGCATTGTGCGAGTCTCTGGGTTCGCTCTGGGCCCTCCCTTGGGAATCGTTTAGGGCCTTTGGGGGCCCGTCTGGGGGCCCGTTTCGGCCGTCCCGAGTTCCTCCTGGCCCGTCATGGGGAGCTGAGCCCGTCTTGGGGCCCTCTTGGGACCCTCTCCGACCTTGTACGGATCCTCTGGTGGCCTCCTCGGTCCCCCTCGTGTTGGAGCTGACACTTTGGGGCTCCTGCGTCTCAGTGATGGCAGGAGCCGATATCGAAAGATCAGAAAGCCACGTCGCTACGAACGCGTGGCTGCCACAAGCAAGTTATCCCGGTGGTAACTTTTCTGACACCCTTCCTCCTCCTCCTTTTCCTCCTCCTCCTCCTTTTCTTCCTCTTCCTCATCCTCCTCCTCCCCCTCCTCCTCCTCCTCCTCCTCCTCCTCCTCCTCCTCCTCCTCCTCCTCGTCACGACTACCACGATGACGACGACGAGAAGACAGAGAGGAGACCTCCGGGAAACCCCGCGGGAAGTAATGAACCCCACGGCCACGACGGCGCCCCTCCGCCAATCCCAACGCACACGGATTGTGCCTCAGAAAGACGCGGTTGCACGCGCCCCTCTGTGGGAGGACTCGCGTAACATCACGCCTCCGCCCAGGGCGACTGGGTTTCTCACGCGGATCGTGTCCCAGCGGGAGCCCCAGTGACAGTCCGAAAGCCAACGTGCGTATGACACCTCCCGCTGACCTCGACCCAGCGTGTTCTGGTTACTTCCTGGCGCCCCGCGGCATGTTTCTGTGGAGCCTCGGGAAACCCTGACATGGATCTTGCAGAACGTAAACACGAGACCTCCCAGACGCTGATGGGGGCCTATTGGAATGAGTCCCGGGAGCCTTCTGGATGCATTGTGCGAGTCTCTGGGGCGTCCTTGGTCGTCCTTTTGACGGCTTTGGCATCTGGGGGCCGTTTCGGCCGTCCGTCGCCGGTCCCTCTTAGCCCGTCATGGGGAGCTGAGCCCTTCTTGGGGCCATTTGGGGCATGTAGGGATCCTCATCTGGTGGCCCCATCGGGCCCCCTGGGGACTCCATTAGGCCGGTTTGGACCTCTCTTGTGCTGCTCGAAGCTCTCGCCAGGCCGTCTTGGAGCCGTCTTCGGGGCCTCTTGGGCCGTCGGGGGCCGATTTTGGGAGCCTTTGGGGCCAACATGGCACTTGCTAGAACTGATAAAACGGATATCCAAAAAAATGTGCGTTTTGGGGGCCTTCTCGGCGGCCTCTTGAACCGTCTTGAATGAACCATCTTGGGTTCTTGGGGGCCCGTCTGGGGGCCCATTTCGGCCGTCCCGGGTCCCTCTTGGCCCGTCATGGGGAGCTGAGCACGTCTGGGGGCCCTCGCGGGGCCCTCTCCGACCATGTAGGGATCCTCCAGTGGCCCCGTCGGGCCCCCTGGGGACTCAATTGGGCCGGTTTGGACCTGTCTCGTGCTGCTCGAAGCTCTCTTCAGGCCGTTTTGAAACCCTCTTGGGGGCGTCTTGGGCCGTCTGGGGCCGATTTTGGAAGCCCTTGGGGCCGACGCGGCCGCCGTTAGGACTGAACAAGCGAACGTCATGAAAATATTCGTTTTTTCCCTGGGAAATGTTTGAACTTTGGCTTTGGGGGGCTCTTTCGGCGGTCTCGTGGGCCGTCTTGAGGGAGTCCTTTCGGGTCTTTCGGGGCCCGTCTGTGGGCCCATTTTGGCCGTCTTGGGTCTCTTTTAGCCCGTCATGGGGGGCCGGGCCCATCTTGGATCTTCTCCGACCATGTAAGGATCCTCTGGTGACCCCCTCGGGCTCCCTGGAGAATCTCTCGGACCGGCTTGGAGCTCTCTTGTGCTGCTTGGATGCTCTCTTGAGGCCGTCTTGAAGCCCTCTTGGGGGCGTCTTGGGCCGTCTGGGGCCGATTTTGGAAGCCTTCGGGGCCGTCGCGGCCGCTGTTCGGATTGAAAAAGCTAATATCCTGGGCTGCTTTGTTTTTTCCATCGAACGTCTCGAAGGCCTTTGTGGCCGTCTAGGAGCAGTCTCGGGCTGTCTGCGGGCGCTCGCGGGCCGTCCGGAGGCCATCTCAGTGGGCTCTTCAGCCCCCTCGGACCGCCGCGCAAACCAGCGATCGCGGTTCGGGGCCCTCCCCCAGCCTAGTCCGATATACATATATATATATATATATAATACACCCACAGGCGGATGCTATGGAGGCGTTGCGTCCGTTGTCTCTCTCCCCTGGGACTCCTGCAACATAGTCGCAGGTAGCTCGGGATCCTGCGCCAACACCGTAAGCGTGAACGTTGTGTCCAACATCTGTCTGACTTCGACGGGGTGGTTGCAGTCACAAGCGAGTGTCCTGAAGACGTTGGGTCCACGAGCTGCTCGAACATAGTTCGCGCCAGCTCAAGGGGAGAAACCAGAGAAGTGGGAACGTGGTCCTTCATGTCATAGTTATTGCCATTGTGATGGTACTCGTGCTCCTGCACCGTCGTGGTTCCTGGCGGGTGGGCGACTGGTGCCCAGACAGTCCCGAAAGAGCTGGCCCCGGCCTCGACGATCTGGTGGAGGTGCACAGCAAAGAGCGCGCGCCCGAGCGCGCGGCGCCATGTAGAGCGTGTGGAGCGGGTCGACATTGATCGTCCTGTGGAGCGGTCGACAGGAACAGGAACCATTGCCGCACGGGCCTCTTTCGGCGGGTTTGGAAGGGAGTCGGAGCTCCGCTGCCAACAAGAGAGCTAAAGCGGATGGTGAACGAGAGGTTCTTGTAGAGCGGATGTGAAGCGGCCGGAGGCGTGTATTAGAGCGGACGCGCATGTGATCACCTTGAGCCAGATGCCCATGGTGACCCCCAGCGTGCCCACATCTACTGCTATGCTATAACCTGCCCTATCACTGGTTACCTATCGTTCGAGCGCGAAGAGAAAAAGGAGGAGGAGCAGGAACACGAGCGGAAAGCGCGAGGACGAGGAAGAGGGCAGGGCCCCCCGAGCAGGCTCGGCTGAGCCCAGGGCGTTGAGGTCTGGCTCCACGACGATCAGGTTTCCGCTGTTGTTCTGCTGCTTTGCGATCTCGCAGCTGGTGGTGCCGAACCTGCCGAGTCTCTACCACCACCTGCTACTCATCACCCTTCTCTGCCTTCCCCCTCCTCGTCGCTCTCCTCCTCGTCCTCCTGCTCCTCCTGCTCCTACCGCTATTGTCCTAGCCCCCTCCGCCTCCACCTCATCCCTCCCTCATGCCTGCTCCTCGTCTTGGCCCTTCCCTTATCTTTATTCGCTGTTAGCGTAGTGTTTGCCAGCGTGGTCCCCGAACAGTGAGGACCCCGAACAGTGAGAACAAACAAGAGGAGGAGGAGAAGGAGGAGTAGGAGGCAGGAGAAGGCAGGAGGTGGGAGGAGGTGGGAGGAGGAGGAGGAGGAGGAGGAGGAGGAGGAGGAGGAGGAGGAGGGAGGAGGCGGGATGATGCAGGACGTGGGATTATGTAGGAGGGGGAGGTGAGAGGTAGAAGATGGAGGAGGGCGGAGGAGGTAGGATCGGTATGGGGAGGCAGAAAGGGCTATAGCCGCACCGTGCGACCCAAGCATAGTCTCATGATATGATTTGTACATGAATTCGCACGTGAGCCTGCATACGGTGTACGTCCTTGATTGTGGTGGTGTGACGCGCCCTCCCTGTGGCGCTTGGCCGTCTGAGCGTCGAGATCAAAATGGTTGCCGACGTCTGGCAATTGCTCGCGGGGGCGGTGCCTCTGCGAGGAACCTGACACGGTGCTGACCTGCAGGATCGCGCTCTTGACACCGTTCTTGACATCGCACGATCGCGTTACCGTCTAGTGGGCCCAACACACAAACCGACAGTGTCTGAACCGAACGAAACCCTGACGTAGGTAGGAGGGCACCAACTATACACCAACACCGATCCTGGCCCAGGATCACCCTGGGCCCAGGATCGGTGTATACGCCCTCCTGCCTTGCGCAAGAAGGCATATACACCGATCCTGGGCCCAGGGTGATCCTGGGCCAGGATCGGTGTTGGTGTATAGTTGGTGCCCTCCGAGTAGGTGCCACATCTCCACGCTTGGAAGTCAACGGGGGCGCCTGCTCTCCGCCAGCTCTTGCGGCCCCGTCGTGCGACGCCCCCGCCATGCCGGCCGAAGGCCAGCTCGAGCCGACTCGGGCTGCGCGTCGCGCGAATCGGACCGACGAGGGAGTGGCGGGAGCGGAATCGAGGAACGATGAACCACGCGGATGTTTTGGTTCCCCTCTGTTAAGGAGGAGGGGGAGGAGGAGGAGGAGGAGGAGGAGGAGGAGGAGGAGGAGGAGGAGGAGGAGGAGGAGGAGGAGGAGGAGGAGGAGGGGGGGGAGGAGGAGGAGGAGGGAGCGCGACCAGGCGCGCAGAGCGCGCCAGGCGCGGAGCCGGAGGCGCCGCCAGGGTGGCCCAGTGCAGATCTGAGAAACCCGCGCGGCGCTACAAGAAGTTTAGCGTACGTATGTATGCCATTCATCATGTTTGAATAGGGGGGCAAACAAACCTACCTCGCTTTTGACCACCCTCGCTTCCAAGAGATACCAGGCGATGCCAAACTACGGCATGTACTGGTCAGGCCGCTTGACGAGGAGGCGTATGGTATGACTTGGTTTTGCCTGGAAGCGAAAGCGCGGTAGGTAATTCACGCTCGCTGTTCCCCCGGCGGGGCCAGCGGAACCTGGCCCCGAACTCCATCACGGTGGCGTCCTGAAAGGCCTCCCAGCCGGGATCTGGGTAGATCAGTAGGGAGTCGGAGGATCGTGCCGCATCGCCGATGCATCGGCGACACATCGCCGAAGCATTGGCGATGCACCAGCGACGTCGGCGATGCGTTGGCGCAGTCGGCGTGGAGAAAATCAGGCTCCACATCGAGCCGCATCGCCGAAGCATCGGCGATGCAGCGCGCTCCTCCGACCGACCCCGCCTACTCGGACCCCATCTGGGCGGCCTGGAATCCTGGGGGATCCACGCGCGCACCAAGTTGTGCTCCGGGTACTCGATCTCGCAGGAGAGCCCCTCGCCCTTCCAGCTGCCGCAGTCCTCCCCGGCCCAGAGGGCGGTTCGCCAGGCGACGCGCGGGGCCAGGGGGGGCGCGGGACCTGAAGGGGGGAAGCGGCAGGGGAGACGGGGAAGGGGAGGGAAGGGGGGGGGAGGAGTGGGAGGAGGAGGAGGGGGAGGGCATGGGGGTCGGAGGAGGTGAGGCGAGGGGGGGGGGGACAGGGGGGCAGAGGGGAGCGCGCGCGGGGGAAGGGAGCAGAAGGGAAAGGGGGGGGGAGAGGAGGTGGCGAGGAAGAAAGGATGGGGGAGGAGGGGGAGCGAGAGACGCACGGCCCGCCAAAGATGGGGCACCAGATCTGCTTCACTCTCCTCCTCATTCCCCTCCTCCTTCTCCTCCTCCTCCTCCTCCTCCTCAAACTCCTCAAACTCCCTCCTCCTGCCCTCCCCTCATCCCTTCCCTCCTTCCCCCCTTGCTCCCGCCAGCCTCCCCCTCCATCATCCCTCCTCTACCCGCCTCGCTTGTCCCAGCTCCTTCCTGGCTGCTTCCTCTAGCCTCCTGCCAAATCCATCACCCCTTCCTCTTCCTTTCCTAACTCTCCCCCTCCTCCTCCTCCTCCTCCTCCTCCTCCTCCTCCTCCTCCTCATCCTCCTCCTCCTCCTCACTCTCATCCTCCTCCTCCAACTCCTCCATTCCTTTTCCTTACAAAGAACTTCTCAATGTCGCACCCCGAGGCCACTTTTTAGGGCGAGCCGGGCGTTTCGCCTGAGACTTCCTCACCACTTATGACTCTGAAGCTGAAAAATTGGCAACAATTTCACAGATGGAGGGCGGGCCGTTTTCAAAATGTGGCTCTCGCCTTAGCGCCGCGCACACTCGTTCTAAACGAATGCAAGAGCTTCACGGATTGAGGATAACCCGTTTTCAACATGTGGTTCTCGACTTAGCGCCGCGCACATTCGTTTAAAACATGCGAGAGCTTCACGGATTGAGGAAACCCGTTTTCAACATGTGGCTCTCGACTTAGCGCCGTGCACATTCGTTCATAAAATTTGCAAGAGCTTCACGGATTGGTTCCTTTTCAACATGTGACTCTCGCCTTAGCGCCGCACATTCGTTCATTCAATCTGCAAGAGTTTCAAGGATTCCCTCGATCCACGTTCCAGAAATGGTGTTTTGGAAGAATTCGGGATTTTGCGGGTGCAACAGTTACGTTGATTCGCGGTGTTGAAATCCCAAAGACTGGCGTCCTGGCACGATCCAGGATCGTCAAGACGCAACAGTCAGGTTGATCCGTGGCGTTGGAATCCCGAGAACAATGTTTTGACATGCTTTCGGGTCTTCAAACGGTTGTCTTCCGACGAGGCAGATTCCTAAATAGAAATGAACCGTTGCAGGCACTTGTGAAGAGGGAGCTTGGAGGGAGGGGGTATTCCAACATCGTTGATGGCTCTTGGGTTTACACTGGTCCTCCTCCTCCTCTTCCTCCGCACCACCATCACCACCACCACCATCATCATCAGCAGCATCATCATCATCATCATCAGCAGCATCATCAGCA